CTTCATGTATAAACGTGATAAATTTATCTGAGATGAAGTGTAGTCTATTGCAAACTAATATTTTTTTTTTGTGACATAGTGTGGTGTCATAGAAAGAGTGCGTTTATGAAAAGAAAATAATAACTGGTGTTTTGATGTTAAAAAAAGTATTTAAAATTCACTAAAAAGTCTACTATTCATGAGGAAAATGTTACTTTGGATTTTAAAATATTTTATTAAGTTGTCTGGCACTAAGTCTACCTGTCATTGGCAACAGCCTGGTGAAGTAGGTTTCAGTACTCATCTCCAAAATATTACTCTTATAAATCTCCATAGGTTGTTGATGTATGCCTTTGCTGGGGACATGTTCATGCCCCCCAATGATCCCTTCGGCAGAGGAGGTCCAACACTGGACCAGTTACTGAAAAAACTAGACCCCAGGGAGATGGAGAGATTGATGAGGTGAGACCTTAAGTTGTTGCTAGATATCAGTTTTCATTATAAGTTAATATGTCTACTTTAACCGGTGTAATGGTAAAGATGCCAACTGACATTGGAAGCCATATGCTATGATCTCTCTCTCTCTCTGATTTCATAACAGTAATAATAATTGTTGTACAACTTATCGTGATTAGAGAATGTCAAAGAGGACCAAGTCCTCAAAGAGGCGTTGGAGGTTGGGGTCAGAAAGGTCAAAGACCACGAGGGCATGATCAAGGTCAGAATAGAGCAACAAAGCCACCAACAAGGCAACCAAGGTCGGAGGAGAAAAACAGAGAATTTTTCAATGAATTGAGAAAAATAATACCTGATAACGATGCCAAGATCCAAGCTGTGCTGAAAAATCATCCTTACGATACGGATCTGAACAGATTGGTGGGACACTTGTTGGATGTTCTGGACTGAATAATTGGATATCTGAAGAAAAGTCTAAATATTCTATACTGAAGCACAGATTGCAGCCATATGAAAAATATTATTTTTCTTTGGCCATATTACTTTTTTCAATCAAATATAAATGTAATGAAAAATGAAGGTAACTTCTCTCTGTGTGAAGGAAGTTGGATTTCTTTCCAATTTGACAGATTTAATGAAGAGAGAGTTGTTATATATTCAGGTGTGATATGCATGTATGCCAAATACGTCATGTCTGTATCTTTTGTTTTCAACCTCAGCCATGGTAAAAGCTAAATAACACTATCACTAGAATGAAAATTTAGTTTACCCTCTTGCTTTTCCTGTGGTATAATTATTAGTACCACCATACGAATGCGCTTACTCCAGCTGGTGGTACAATATCCGGAGGCAGTATTGCCTCTCTGATCCTCAAGTTTGTAAAGTTCTTCATTCTTGCTAATTTTATTGTTGTAAATAAAAAGCAATGCAAAAAAATACCTATAATTGTAAGAATATGAAGTATAATTCAACATATATATAAAAGGTATTGTGAAAGATTTAGAAGTGGCAAATGAGAATTGGTTTATTTTTGTATTTACTTCTTGTAACACCAGTGTTTCACCAAGAAATACTTGAAATCTGACTTCTAGGACTGAGGAAATCAGTTTTGAACAAGGTGAGAAGCAACAGAGAGAAACAATTTTATTGTGTAGTATGTAATTAGCACAGCTTAGTAAAAAATTACATCTACAATGATTTGAAAAGACAAAATCCTGTTGAAAAAAATTACTAGATAGAAAATTCAGTAATGCAGTCCACAAGGACATGTATATGTGGGATATTGATCACATCCATATTCAAAGATGCTTTTGTAAATTTGTGATTTTATAACCAACCAGTTTAGTATGTGTGTTTTGCAATAACGATGTATTCATTGGATATAAAATGAAGCAATGCAGTCTGTAAACGTGGGATATTTTCTATATATTATCTTTATGTTTTTGTAAATCTTTACCTTTCAAATGCTAATTTAATAGGAAGTCTGTAACAAATTTTTGTTTTATCTTTCATATAACCTCAGTAGTTAAGATGGCACTACTTGAACATTTAAGTGTGATCTTCTGGTAGGACTTCTACGTATAATTATTTGTTTAATGGATGGGAGGTGTAATAGTAGATACTAGATGGACTGTTCTCCTCCCCATCTCCCATTCACATCTTCCAAGTTGTAAAATATACAAGTAGATCAGTATTAATTGGTTAAAAAGTTAGAGGTTATCATATTTTTGTATCTTCATTTATTTTAGCTTAAATAATTATTCAGGAGTACAAACTGTCCTGTCCACTTACCATGATGTGGGATATTGTTGCTTTTACTGAGATTATTTTTCTTATTTTAATCTTCTGTGTGTGTGCACTGTGAAGCTTTTTGCAAAAGTTGATTTTGAGTTTCATGTTTTTTTTTTTGTTTTAACAGAGAAAGTAATCAGGGGTGCAATACTTGAAGCTTTTGTAATTTAGCAAAGTAATTGACAATGGTATTTTCTTAGCTTTTTTTTTTTTTTGATTGCTTTAATTTGTTGATAAAGCAAACTTGCAAAAGTTTCGTGAGAAACAAATACAACTGTCAATAAATAAAAAAGAAAAATTCTGATAATGTTTTTAATACAATTTTCCATGAATGCAAATAAAAATATATAAGTGGAAGATGTGAGTGAGAGGTATTTAAAAAAGTACACAAGCAGGGCAAGTTACAACACAGGACTTGTTATTTAAGTGTATGAGAGGAGAGAAATAATTCTCTTCAGATTTGACTGCATTAGGTGTGACAATGTCGAGTGGCAGTGTGTTAGGTGTGACAATGTCGAGTGGCAGTGTGTTAGGTGTGAAAATGTCATGAAAATGAGTTAGATGTGAAAAGTTCAGACAGGAAAGTGTGTTAGGTGAGAAGTTGTTCAGACATGACAGTGTGGTTGCGTCAAAATCCAATTATGTGTGTTTGATGTAACAAAGTAAAGACATTAGAAATTGTGATACGTTCCTTGAAAAACATACATTTATTTTATATATAGAACACAGTTTCATTACCAAATTATACAATCATGACTAGAAATCTCCATATTTTCAACCAAGTATAACAAGGGCAGATCCACATATTTTCTGACTTTTCCAAATTATCTTTGTGGATCCATCCTCCATTTTTGACAATCTTCCAACAGAAAAAATTAGATACCTGTTAATGAAAACTTTAAAATCTTCCAGAAGACAACCTCCATCTGCCCCTGTTTTATATATCATACACCTCATATTACAGTAACTGTTATCAACATATGGAAGCCCTCACAACACATAAAATATATATTCCAACAATACTAAACATATTAGGATAATACTTGTCCCATTCTTGTCATCTTCATAATAAAAATGTTGCATCTTAACAAAATAAAAGATCAATTAATTTTCGTCCTCTTACATTTGCAATTCAAATGCATTGATTTGTGATTGCTACGGCTTTCATTTTAATATTTAATTTATGAACACATTTTGTTTGTTTGGTCTCTAGTATTGGAACATAGACTGGGTTCCCATGCCTAGATTGATCCATCTGTCTAATTCTGGGGAGCCTCACTAAATTGCTATCAACATAACCAGCTTAATTGTCTGTCAAGTATACCTTATCAGCTAGGGGGTACAGATAATTACCCCCTTACAGCTTTACTAGGCATGACAGACATTTAAGCCGGTTAAGTTGACAGGAATTTGGTGAGACTCAGCAGGGAGATAGAGCGATCCAAATATCTGTGGGAATGGTCCCATAGTGTAGGGCTCTCATTACTGAGTCTCCAATAAAATAGCTCCATGTTACAGGTTTGACGTTTATCAATTCTGCAGATCTTCAGCAACAAATTTTAGTTCACAAACTTAGCAGTTCCTACTGGTAAATATTTTTTTAAAATGCATTGTCCAGGATTACACCATAAAATCATGACAAGACTATTAATTCATGTTTTCTTAAATATATATATACACAAATTGACAAATAACTGTTTTTGTAAATATATTGCTTAAATAATACTTTGTGTCATATATATTATTAGGCTTACTATTATTTTGTAATTATTATATCCATATTTGGATAATGAAAAGTATTTGCTGTCAACAATAAACCTAATACTGTAAGAAGCTTAACACCTATTTTCTAAATACAAACTTAAGAAGTGTAGAAAATATGGAAGACTTCAAATATAAAAACGGTACAAGATATGATGAACTTCATCATATAATTCAAGGTAATGTTTGCTGAAATATGTCAACAAATGTACAAACCTTTGAGCACCCAATGGGGGATTTGTAAATGACAAAAAGCACCAAGGCAACCAATTTGTAGATATGATGCCATATTCTATAGAAAAACAAATAGGACTTTCCAAAGTTACTAGACAAGTCTGATTCACCTTGTGATTATTTTCCCATTTTCTTTCAATCTTGAGACTAGAAGTTCATACTGATTTGAACAGGAAAGTTTCAGGTGCAGACTGGATGAAGTTCTACTGTGAAGTTTGTTAGCTATGACAGTGTGTCACACGTGACAATGTGTTAGGTGTTACAATGTGTTAGGTGTGACAATGTTTTAGATGTGATAATGTGTTAGGTGTGACTGCGTCAGATATGACAATGTATTAGGGTTGACAGTGTAAGGTGTGACAATGTGATAGATGTGACAGTGTGACACTTCATTAAAAGAACAGAAAAAATTCTCCATAAAACGTCTTCTAAAAAAAACTGTACGTGATACTGTTTTATTTTTCTTTTTTTTAACGGTGGACCTAATAAATAAATGTGGCTTCCTTCATCCACATCATTCACATCATTTTTACAGACTGCTTTTCAGAGCAAAACAGAAATAAAATGAATAAAACAGAGTATTATCATATATTTGTGGACTTAAAGATCTAGATGCTTTTTTTAATTGTCAGTTATTGCTGAAATGCATAACAACATAAAACATTTAATGTGAAAAAAAGCAAAAAAGAAAGTTGTTTTTGGCACTGTTCCTTAGCCCCAGGGTTTCAAGACGGATGAGTTTTTCTTTTTTACATCTTCATTTTATACTACATTTGCACTTGATTGGAAATGCCCAGTACAATGCCTTTTCATTCACTGCAACAAGAAAAAAATAAGAATGCAGCAATGGAATATAAGGCAAAAAAGATGTCAGAATTTTTTTAATTTCAATAAGTTTTTAAAGATAATATTCAACTCATTCCTCCCACTGTTTTCTTTTTAGTAGCAATACCTGTCACATTTCTCTCAAGACTTACAGCATTTTAAAATCATTAAGGTACACTATCCTTGTTACAGTTTCCTGAGACACTTTTTCTATGTCTACATATCCTGCAAATCTAATAAATACCTTTCTCAATTGAGTCCCTAAAAATCAGAAAACCCCTCAAATAAAAGAATCCAATGATGATATTTCTTTCTAAGATTCTCTTCATTCCAACCATATCTTCAACCACTTCCAATGGACTTCCCAAATCTAAATCATTTTCAAAGTTTAAGCGCCATTTTTCTTTCTTATGAGAAGCAGGGAATATCTGTCATCCTTGAGTGTGATTTCCCCTTTCAATAACCTCAAACAACATATCCCTGAGAAGACCATCTGATTTTTAACCGAATTTAAATTGTAAAATGTAAATAAAGTAACTGAAAGAGGTTATTTCTACCTATGTTTGTGAACTCTGGGTGGTCTCACAGCATTGCGGTCAAATAACTCCGCTTCTTCCTCATCTGTGGAGTTTGCCTCTCCATTTACTAGCAGCATCTCCATAGACTCAGAATTATTGTGTAATTCTTTTTCATCTTCTTTTCCTAGAAAAAAAATAATATTGTTATTCAATATTCTGAAAATTATATAAATTCGTGTATATTATATTTATGTCAAATACATTTTGCCATAACATCAATCAAATGGATACTTTTTTTACTATAATAGTAGTGAAAATATTTATAACAGTAATTTTTACTGTATATTTATTCTGTTATTGTGTCACCTGTCACCTTTTCTGCCTCTCTTCTGTCTGTTTGTTTCTTTGTTTGTTTACTGGTTTGTTTATTTGATTGTTTGTTTGATTATCTGTCCGTCCTTCAGGTTTTCCTTCTGTCCTCTCTGTCTGTGTGTCTGTCTGCCTGTCTGCCTGTGTGACTGTCAGGCTGTCATTTTGTTCTGTCTGTCTCGACTCTCTTTCTTTTTCCCATTTCAATATTCTCGTCTATGCACACAATAGTTCATCCATTTCACTACTCATTCACCATCATTAGACTTTACTAGAAAAATAGTCTCCGCTACCAGCTTTCCTCTGCCATTTCCAACAGGCATAATTAAAAAAAAATCCTAGAAAATAAAAGATGTTGCAGATAATAAGAGGCTCATTTTCTGGGATCTCTGAATCTCACAGTGTTACTGGAGACAGGAGAAGCATGCTGGTAACAGGGACCAGGTAACACTTATGTCCGAGACTCCAGGTGATACTGGGAATAGAAGAAACATGCTGCTAATACAGGGCAGTGTGCGTTTCCAGTAATCTCTGATATTCTGGGTGACAGATATGTACTTACTATGAACAGCTTTTAATATCACATGTAACGCTATTCCAAACAGACATATCACAAGTCCCAGGAAATTGATGGGATTCATCTTGTCACCAAATGTGATGTGCGCAAGGACTATTGTACAAATTTCCTGGGATGAAAAATATGAAAAAATTATTAATTTCCTTCAGTTATTAGCTATTACTAAAGTATTATACCTGTATTTTCTACTATTTTGCAAATTTCCTGAATAAAACAGGACATCATATTTATTCACCTCTGTCTGTAAGTAGTTGTTACAATGGTGTCATAACTGTATCATTACTTTTTTGCAAAGACTTTCAACAACATAACTGAAACCAAAAATGCATAAATAACACTGAGTTCACACAGAAATATCAATAAGTTTTTTTATTTTTTAGTGACATAATTATTAATTATGCCCACCAATGATTTAAATTTGTATTGTAAAAACAAAAATTAGAGCCCAAATATTGGCTTATAACTTATAAAACATAATTTTGTTAAGAATTTTGAATAAGGAGCATGTCTTGTCATTTCCTGAACAATTTATTTCTTGCTTGACAAAGGTCTGATATGACGTGTATTTGGAACTTACTTTAAATATTCCTGATATGGAAAGAGTTAACCCTGAGGTTCTGGATAAAAGTAAAAATTCACTAAACTCCAACATGAAGGCCAGGAAAGCCCCTCCTATTACTATACCAGCTGATGTAAAAATCTCGCTGATTTCATGAAATCTGAACAGATGATGGGAACTGGCTAGTGGAACACCTGTAATATCAACCACAAATCATTAGTTTGAGGACAGATCACAGGCCCATAGCCTGCAATTTCAAAAGGGGGGTTCTTTTTCGGAAAAAAAATGGACCTTTTACCATACAACTTCATGCATCTAAATGAAATTTTACCCAGAGGGGACCTTTTCCTGGCAGAAAGGAATCTTATTTATTATTTTGATTATTATAGATAGTCTTAAATTATTTGCTGGTAAGTTTTGCTCTGGTCTCAAGAGCATCACCAACACCCAACAACCAGTGGGCTTTCAGCTTGGTGATGCTCTTGTGACAAGGTCCAAACATAGATGTTTCACTAAAATTCTGTTCCAAAGTAAGTGATTAAATATCAGTAAATTCCTTAGAGTTATGAAAAATTGTATTGATATTAAATTATTATAATTATTATTACCTTCCACATAAGAAGACAAAGGCAGCAGACCTATGATCATCCATGGCTGTATGTGATACATCATATCTAGAGGATTACTTAAACCTGGAACAAGATACTTAGCTGCTTATTCTCTCTCTCTCTCTCTCTCTCTCTAAAAGACACTGCGTTGAGTTTAAATTAAAAATTAGTGATAAATCAGAGAGAGAGAGCTGTGCTAAATTAAAACATTCTTTGCTAAAAAAATTAAAATTCTAGTATTTAAGACACCTCAAAATGAAAAAAAAAACATCAGTCAAAACTTTACAGGTGTTTCCAACACATATTGGCCATAGTGATCAAAGTTCCCTCTAAAAAACCTCATACCTATTTCACTTTTCTGTGTGACCACCTGTGACAGCGTCCACCGGAAGCCACTTGTGAAGGCTGCTGTCAGCACCAGTAAAAATCCTGTCCAGTTAAACTGCGTGGAATGGAATGTAAATAGCACCAGCCCTACCGAGATAAAAAGCACCACAAACACCAGGGAAAATCTCTGAAATAAACAACCATTTTTAAATACAGGAAACCCAAATAATTTACTCAGAGAGTCTAGATATTATGACTTGTCGTTTTCCTAATAATTTATAAAGTATCATCAAGAATACATTGTAAGCTTAGATATCAAACAAAAAGGACAAATTTTTCTTCTAATATCTATAACAAAGAGAATCGACTTTGTCATCATGGATCTAAATCTTTAACAGAAAATGCTAAAGTAAATTAAAATGCTGAAGTACAGTTTAATTCACTTTTTTAAATATCATATGATTCATATGTATAACAAATTGCAAAGAGCTACAACATAATACCATATTATGCATGAAGATCTGTTACACAACAACGATATCAAAATCAATAACTGTCTGTAAGTCACCAGCACACTCATAGATAGATACAGTGCCATATAATATAAAAATCATGAGGTGCTGTTACAAAACAGACCAGCATACAGTACTTACACATTTCTCTAGCTTCATTAATATTGAGAAGGTCAGGATGAATATAATTGCTGTGGACTTCACCATTGTGTACCTGAAATAGGGGTTTATTCACTGGATTTGAATGGGCTTGAACTGAACATACTACTAGTACATACAGACTACTGGTTAGACTGTTATAATATAGTAGAACAACTTGTTTTCCTGGAAATTTCAACAGGTTTTCTCAACAATCAAGAAATATTCTAGCTC